TGTCTTTCCAACTACATATTTGTATGAGGCCTGATTTTCTTCATATACTTCAACCCCCAAAACACATAGCATTTGATTGAATGCAGAAGCTAGTATGAGAATCCAGCTGTTTTTCTTAGGCTGGACATCAAACGGACTCACAAAAAAATGGAAAATGATACTACCCATCTTATTTCTATTTTTTTTTTGAAAAATATGATTTTTTTAAAAAATAGAATGTTATTTATGCTAACACGTAATAAATGTATCTTTAAATGAATTAATAAATGAATATTTTAAATTAAAAAAGTCTTTCTGACATTGCCAAGTATCTCCTGTGCGACAGCTGTCTCCTGTGCTTGAGGATCAGTGGGCTGTATAAGTCTGGAACTTAGCCAAGACTAGAGAGAGACATTTCAAATCATCACCATGTAGGTGGTCTTTAGAGCCATTGCAATGGAAGATAATCTCAGTATGTGTGCAGTGAGATTAGTGGTTCAAGGTTAGAAGGACTCACCCAGATTGAAGGGGGTGAGGAAAAGAAGAGAGAACATTAATGAAAATGAAAACGAAGAATCAAGAGATACAGCAGTAGGAAAACCAAGAAAGACAGGAAAGTGTGGGGTAGTGGCTTTGGTGAGTGTCTGCCCAGCTTCCTATGTCCACTCTTCTTACCCAGCCCCACCCTATTAGCCACAGTGACTGGTCTGTGGATGGGCACATGACGCAAGCCAGGCCACATTTCTTTCCTCTTATGTCTTTGTATTGGAATAATGTAAGTCCAGAAGTGCCTGTGCACGCCTGCTGCCACATGGCAAAGGTTCAGCCCAGTGGGTTCAGATGTGCCATGAGTGGGTAATGACCACCTGTGTCTCACAGCTCAGGAAGAGGATCTTTAGGGAAGTTGGATGGAGCCTCCTGACATCTGAAGAGGATTTCTTGGGCTCCCAGGACACCTTACACACTTTCCTAAAGTTTTCTGACTTTTGTCAAATAGTGTTACTTTGTGGAACTATAGAAGACCAAGGAAGCTGCACCCAAAGCATCCCTTCCATGCTGTCTCTATCTCACTGCTGACTTCTGAGCTAGATAAGCTGTGAAAATGCACCAAGCACACACACACACACACACAACCTGTGAGCTGTGTGGGAGCTGCATCAGCAGCAAGCAATCCAACACACCATTGTGGTACAAGTGTATTACTGTTTTGTCTGCAGGAGAAGCAAATGAGATCAGCAGCAGAAAGAAGCAGAACTGAGAGCTGAGAAAGACCAGACTTTTGGTAGCATTTGAGAGCCTGGAGCCAGTCATCCTGAAGCTAGATCCAGCCCTGCCCTTCTAGTTATGAGTCAAGAAATGCTCTTAACTTAGGCATTTTTCTGTTGCAAATGCAAGTCTCCTAATCCAGAAATTGGAACCAGGAGCAAGGTAATAGACCTGTTTTAGTCTGTTTTTGTTGCTTATAACAAAGACACTGAACTGGGTAATTTATAAAGAAAATGGAATTTATTGCTTACAGTTTCTAAGGCTGAGAAGTCCAAAGTCCATCTGGTGGTGGCAACAGTGACCCAGTGGTCTCACATTGCAAGATGGTGAAAGCAGAGAGAGCAGAGAGAGAGACAGACTCTCCTCTTCTTTTAAAGCCCTTAGAAAGATGCCCCGACCACCATTTTTAATCCATTCACTACTGCATGGTCACAATCCAATCACCTCTTCAAGGCTCCACCTTTCAATTACCGTAATAGGATTTCCTACCCTCTTAACAGTCACAGTGGGGACTAAGTTCCTAATACATAAAACTTGGGGGACACAATTCAAGCTTCAGTGAGTTGTGGGGGGACATATAATTCAATCGACTACAAGACCTAAAATGTAGAACTGGTTGAGTCAAGATAGGGAAGGTGGAAAAGCTGGAA